CAGAAAGATGATAGGCTGATCAATGATTTCAGAAGGGCGGTGAATGATTGTTGTCTTATCGATATGGGGTTTAATGGGAATTCTTTCACTTGGTACAACAAATGGCCTAATGGTCGAACAATGTTTGAACAGTTGGATCGAGTTTTTTGTAACTCAGCTTCGCTCTTTCTTTTTCCCAACAGCAAGGTGGATAATTTGGGTTTTCGGACTTTTGACCATAGACCTGTAAAGTTGACAGTGGCTCGTGAGCTTGTCGGGCAGATCACGGAACTAGTTGAATCCTCTGCTTTGAAGAAGTTTCGTTAGAAGATTTGGGCTGTGAAGAAGTTGTTGGGATGGCTGGAATAGGGGCCTTTTTTATGGTAACCCTAACGCTCTCAAAGCCAAGTTAAATTCTTGCCTTCGTTTGCTGTCCAAGTGGGGCTTGAAGAGAACAGGAAACTATAAACGCCAGATTAAAGGAGCTGAACCGAAAGTAGAGCAGGCTATTTTAGATCTTCCTCATAGGGCTGATAGGAATGAGGTTAATTGTTCAGAAGCTGAGCTTGAAAATTTGTTATTCGAAGAAGAAATTTATTGGAAACAGAGGTCCCGTGAACATTGACTGAAGTGGGGCGATCGCAATACAAAATGGTTCCATAATAAGACCTTGCATAGGAAGCGGATAAATGAGATGAAAAGCATTCTGGATCAGGAAGGAAATTGGGAGACAGATCAGAATCGTGTAGCAGGGATGATTTCAAATTACTTCTAAGAATTATTCACTTCATCTTGCCCTTCAGCTATTGACATCCAGCATGTTACTCGACATGTTGAGAAAAGAGTTACAACTTGGATGAATTGCAAGCTTCTTGCAAGATTAAGTGAAAATGAGATTAAAGTGGTTATTAGTCAGATTCATCCAAACAAGGCACCGGGGTCGGATGGCATATCGAGAGCGTTCTATAAAAATTTCTTGCATATTGTGGGGAAGGAGGTAACTACGTGTTGTCTTAATATCCTTAACAACAAGATGGACTTGGCTTGTATCAATGAAACTATGATTGTTCTTATTCTCAAATTAAACGAGCCGAAAAGGGTGATTGACTTCAGGTCGATATCTTTGTGTAATGTCTGCTATAAAATTATCCCGAAAGTCCTTGTCAATAGGTTGAAGGAAATCTTGCATTATTTCATCATTTCTCCTAACCAGAGTGCTTTCATTCCAATAAGGTTTATTACAGACAATGCAATCCTTGGATATGAGTGCATTCACTGGCTTCGGTCTAAGCGGTCGGGTAAAACAGCTTAGGCAGGCCTGAAACTCCATATGAGTGAGGCTTATGATCGGGTGGAGTGGAGTTTCTTCAAAGAAGTTATGTCCCAAATGGGTTTGCCAATGAGTGGGTCAACTTAGTTATGAGATGTGTTAGCGTTGTTTCGTTCTCTTTCAAGCTTAATGGGGAGAAGGTTGGCCATCTAATTCCCCAAAGGGGTCTTGGTCAAGGTGACATGCTTTCCCCTTATTTGTTCCTTTTTTGCGCAGAAGGTCTCTTGGGGCTCCTTGAGCATGTTGCGAAAGTGAAGCTCGTTTCAGGACTATCTATTGCTCGTCGAAGTCCCCCTTTAACTCATCTGTTTTTTGAAGATGATAGCCTTTTCTTCTTTAAAGCCACGACAAGGGAAGGAAGGGTTATTAAAGATAGTTTGAGGAAATACGAGAGAGCCTCGGGACAGATGATTAACTATGACAAGTCTGTGCTTGCAACTAGCCCTAATGCTAGTAATGAGATTAGATCCCAGCCTAGTTCTTTGTTAGAGGTGAATCTTGTTGATTTTCACCACCACTATCTTGGGCTGCCATCTTTTATGCCTCATTGTCGGAATGCCAATTTCAGTTACATTAAATATCGGGTGTGGAAGAATCTTTAGGGCTAGAAAGGCAAGTTGTTTTCTGTTGGTGGGAAGGAGGTTCTTATAAAAGCGGTTATTCAACCTATCCCTTGCTACTCGATGTCTTGTTTCAAGTTGCCAAAGAAACTTATTCATGATCTCAACTAGCTTGCGGCTCGGTTTTGGTG